GTAAAAATCTTTTAAATAGTAATATATCCTTTTGAAAATACGTTTTGAACGGAGTTTCAAATTAATCAATTCAAACCAGTCAATTTATATTAAAAAACAATTTTTTATTTCAAATTTATTTTGTCATTTTATTAATTAAGAAAATAATTGATAAATTATTCCATAATAAGTAGGTTGTGAATTATTAGTTAAAATTTTCAAAAATATTTCCACAATTTGTGAATTAATTAGTTAACAAATTCAAAAGGCTTATTTGTTAACAAGTAGGGTTGCTACTTCTGTATAATTTACATTGTAGATTTCTTGGAATAATTTTATTCAATCCAATGATAATATATTGAAAAGGCTTATTTTTCATACATAGGTTGTCATTTCATGAAATAAAAAATATGGTGTCTGTTGACAACCGACCTGGTTAGACAAGTCAGAAGAAGCCACGTGGAATATAAAACGTTGATCCGACTGTGTGGAAAATATTGGAATGGAAACCCAACTTGGAAGACCTCAGCGTGAACCCGGGGAAGAACCAACCTCATCGATGAGCCAAGGACCAACCTCCGATCCATGTGAGACCGAGATAAGATCAGGACATTAAATGCCAATGGGACACCTGACAATCAACCACCCATACTTCATTATTACTTGTGAGGCCACCTGCAGTCTAGCCGAACTGTTAAATCATAATTATTGTTGTCGAACCAGCCTTGAAGAACGAGCCTAGGATTACTATAAATAGCAGCATTTATTCCTGTACGAGGATCTTTTTTCCGACACATATAATATGTTGGGTTCTGTTCATATCTAACATAACATACATACAAAATCGCTCATCTCGATAAAAAATCAACTTCTTATACTCGAATCCGACTTCAGTATAATAAAAAAATCCATCAATTTGCAACTCTTAATCTACTTGATCCATGTGATTATAGTTGTTAAATTTCGTGTAACAACAATATCATATGATAAATTACGCTTATTTCATAAATACGTGTCAATATCAACTTGGAAATAAATGAAATAACTAATTATTTATAGTTTAATAAATTAACTAACTACTTAATTTTTTTTATTATTGTTTTGTGATTTAGATAGTTCATAGAAAAATAAATTCATATTAATAAATGAAACAATATAAGTATTATATTTATACTCGTTATTCACACACACACACACACATATAAATATATAAGAATGACTATTTATTAAAAATAGTAGTCAAATTTTTTGGGAGCATTTAATGCATTGATAGGTAGAATAATATGCGCATTTTATATATTTTATAGTGTTTTCTTAATATTCGTACGTTTGTATTTTTTGACTTATTTATTATTTATATTGATTCATTTTATTTGGTATTTTATGTATGATATTTAGTATTTTGGAATATTTTGTGGAGGGGGAATATTGAGCAAGACCTCGGCCAATACATTATTACTCATGGGCCCCACGGACATTTGGTGATTGAAGTCCCAGACTCCCAATAAGAAAATTATCAATGGGCCACTTGTTCCAATTTAATAGTTTTGGTCTTATGATGATTTGATTAAAAAAAGGAATAATTAATTTTGAGGGGCAACTAATTAATGTTGGAAGAGTTTTGATTGGCTGGGAAACTGTTGGGACGTCATTGTTTATATATTCAAACAGTTTTAAATTAGTTTGTTTCTTTACTATAGTTAGTTTTAAAAATATGATATTGTTAGTTGTTAGTGGATATATTAAAATGATTAAAATTGATTTGATGTAAAGTAGGAGTAAAATGATTGGAAGTGATGATTAGTTAAAATTATGTGAGTAGATGAATAATGAACAAAAGTTGATGTGATGCGTAAGAATGATTAGTTAATATTATTTAATTATATTGATAATATTAGAGTAAATGGAGTAAGAATGATTGATTAATATTATTTAATTATATTGATAATATTAGAGTTAATGGAGTTGGGTTAAAGCTTAGTTAAATTTAAATTTTGATCGTTTTTTTTTTTTTTTTTTTTTACTGTTGAAGCAATATCCAATCGCTCCCTTGACTTTTGTTGCCCTGCCACCGAGGACTTATTTTAGGTGATGATTTCTGGAGTCTTGGACTTATGAATAATTTCCTGGCAAACACACGCTGCCGAGAAAAAAATACAGAAAATAAAAAGAACAAAGCCGAACAAAGAGAGTAGCCGAACTGATAGAGGACGCGCACACGGAGAAAAGTCTCACCCGCACATGAGGAAGAATTATATTCTCTCTTTTCTATTTATATTTATTTTTTATTTGTACGTTAGACTGGTTTTTCTATTCAGTTTGAGGGAATATTTGAACCTTAGTTTCGATTTATCCATGAATTGAATGATTTGTTTCTTTCGTTGTTTGATTAAGACGATGTATTTATATTGTTGATGAGTTGATTCATGTTATTTGAGTATAATGTTTATGAATTATGGTGCTTAATTTAGTTTGACCAGCTCCGATAAATTTTCATAGTTTAACTGGTAGAGATGAGACTTTAATCCGTAATTGTTATTGTTCTCATTTTGTTTATAGTAAACCGGTAGCATGAACATAAGTAAATGATCCGAGGTTTCGCGTCCGTTGCTTAGACTGATCTATTTTCCTAGGAATTGATAATGCTAGAGAATTAAATCTAGAGAAGTTATTCTAGGTTGTCCACTAGTTAGGTAAGGGAACATTCGGTTAACAGAGTTTGTTGTTAGTTAGGGTTGGTAGTTCGTTACCAATGTAAAGAAGACGCCAAAATTAATTAACAGTAGATTTAGATTGAGTTAAAACTGAATTTCTCTCATTTTATTGATTTCTATTATTTTTCTTATTTATTTATTTTTAAACTAATCCCTCTTTTTATTGCCTTCATAGTTTTAATCGATTAATAAGTGAATCTCACAACTTAATTCTTCCTCCTCGTGGAATAGACTTTTACTCGCCGCTACTACTAATTAGTAGATGTTAGTTAAAGAAACTTTTATAAATAAAAATTTGTCGCGTCGCGACGCGCGACCAAATTTTGGCGCCGTTGCATTTGAGTTGTGAGTTTTTTAGTATAAATTGAATTAGGTAATTATATTAATTTTTATTTTATTATATTTTAATTTATTTTTCTTTGACCCTCATAATCCCCATATTTCTATTTATTTTCAGTTGAGCAATAAGTCGGGTCAACGACATTAAAAAATGGTGCTTGTTGGGAGGTGTACGACGCGCCTTCTTGTTTTCGATAAGGTGAACTCGTTCCTTTTACCTCATATTTTGTTCTCTTATGTGCAAATTCTAAGTTTGAGGAGGTGCATTAGTGTGAGAGGTTTATGTGGTGGATTGTTCTATATTATCTTAATTTGTGTGTGTATATGTTAGTTGAATGTGAAATTTTGCGATGATGACATGGAAGTCAGTTTGAATTTGTTGTGCTAGTTTGGAATCATCCCCAAAGATCTCGGTCAGAGGATGAGTTGGTTATATTTGGTTAAATTCTTGAGGAGTTTTTATTGTGGGATCAAGAGCATGAGAGTTGATGTTTTTGTGATTTATTTATGGTGACTTAGTTTTGACTCGAATTGTGTTGTTGGCATGCAATTGTGATTACCTTAATCAATGTTGGCTATGTTTGGTGATCTGATGTTGAAAATCGGTGTTTGATGTCATAGTCGAAAATAATAGAATAATGTGGAAGGAGAAAAAAAAAGATGGAGTTGAATCAAAAAGCCTTTGGCACAAAAAAAAATGGAGTTATGAGTTGCAACAATTGTCAATCCGTGGGGGCTCTAGTGACAATCACCAAAGGCTAAAACTCATGGGTTGTGACGGTTTTGCGTTCCCTACTACAAAAAAAAAAGAGAGAGAAAAAAAAAAGAGAACGGGATATTTAATTATTGGCTTGACAAAGAGGAGCTAGACTAATTAGCAAAGAGAAGAGTGTCATGAGTTGCATTGATCGATACATTCGTTAGAGAGATTGATGAACTATGGTGGCCACTTGAATTACCCTTCTTTGAGTTCTTAAAATAATTTCATCTTGAGGTCGGATTAATTAAATCGAGTTGTTTGGACTATGTACTTATGTGTCATTTTTTAGGCCCTGGGCAAATATTCCACGTATTTGTTTATATCCATCTATGTGCTTCTAGTTTTAAGTTGTTTGGGGACAAGCAATGGTTTAAG